CTAATAAATTAAGACTAATTGGAATCCTTAATTTTGATTAGGGATGAGATATGCGTGGACCAAAGACTCCTAACGTCAATTAGATGATAAATTTTTATATTAAGCGTTAGAAACGCTCAATGTTCGTTGAAAATGTTAATGCTTAAAAGGAAGTCCTTCACATTCAGATAATCTAGCAGGCAATCTAAATGTATTTCATTTTGAATAATCGGTACTTAGCTTATTTTGAACAAGTTTAAATTATAAATAATATACGCTTGATGATATGGTTATACACGTGTATACGAGTACGTGCTAAGTTGTTCTATGCTAAATTTCGATTCATATATAGATCATTTTGTATGTACTGATATTATACTACATTATTTAAGAGACATAAAATATTCAAAAGTTGCGACTAATATTTAACGAAGGGTTATATACTAAGAGTGTTGGAGTTAATATGTTTTTGGTCAAGTATTGATATTAGTCCGTTAAAGCCTTTAAACTGTTAATTAATCAATTGATGCTTTGACGTATGTGTGAAACATTTGAGAAATTAAAGTCTTCCATTGAATTATCTTTACTTGATGATTTGGATAAAATTGAATAATTAAGCTATATTTCAAACTACACAATCAAATTGTCAACACCTTACGATAACTCTATGAATAAGTTGTCTAAATCAGTAGTATAGTAGTCTTAATGAAACACTGCACCTTGAATAGTAGAAAATTAAAAGTTGGAAGTAGAGTACATACAAATAAATCTAATGCAGTAGTTCAATTCATGTGTTTGACAAATGTTTGATTGCATGCAATGCTCATATTTGTATTGAGATTTCTAAATTATAATCATATCATATACGATATAAACTAGTAGCTTCGTACATACTGATTAACACATTGTTTGACCAATTAAGCTATAGAAACGCTCAATTATGCTAACCCTAGCTTGAAAATAATTTCTTGATTTTTTTGTTGAAAGAATGTTTAACTTGTCATTATAGTTTGCTTATTTATTAGGTTCAAACTCAATTGTACATACCGCCTTGCAACAATTCTACCAAGATTCAATATGTATATAGTATGTTTATTTGAAAGGTTCAAACTCTCTAGACCAACTGTACATACCTTCTTAATTAGTATCTATCAGATTTTTTAATATTTTATTAGGGATTTTAAGGACTACTAAATCGTACATACCTTCATATATATATGAATATATGATACCATTTTCCATAGTCATGAAATTTGGAACATAAGCAAAAATGTTAAAATGATTATTGAGGGATGAAACTAGAAAGTGGTTGGGCAGCTTATAGGGCCAAGTGTTTTTGGGCTGTTGATAATATGTCGGCCCAAACTTGAATGAAGCAAAATCTACAAGAACTATAACAATACAAGGCTTTCCTCTTTTCTTTCTTTTTTTTTTTTTTTTGTAATATTAAACATTACGCGTAATACATTTACTAATATATACTTGTATAACCTTATTTAATAATATCTTTAATTATTAATAAATAATAACTATAAAAGATGATATTTCCAAATTTTATATCTTAGATTAACTATTGCAGAGTTCTCAAAAGATAAAATAATACTTTTTATACCTTAATCCTAGGCATATTCTCTTCACCTTAATTTCACTTTAGTTCACTTCCTAATTTCCTTCTCTCATAAACAATTCAGTTCATTTCAGTTTAACTCAAATCAGTTCAGTTCATTAAATCAGGATAGGCCATGAATCTAATAAACACGAAATTTTTACAAAACATTAACTTATGTTATATTTTGTATTTTATAATATTATAAATCTATTATTTATATTATATTGGCTATCGTATGAGCCACAAAACTAGTTAATCCGTACTACGTATATGCAACGTAAATCCACGTAATAGAAAGATGATTAAGGTAGCTAGGTATTATTGCAAAATTACCAAAAACTAGGGCTACTCGTAGTATCGAAATATCAGTATCCACATGCAAGCACGTGTAGAAGTTGACTGAATGATAGAAAAAGAGACATGGGAAGATGAATGTACGGTTTGATTAAGTACGGTTTCCTAAACTCCGATCCCAATTCTTTTTTTTTTTTTATTTTCAAAATCCTCCACTACTATTACACGTTCACCTTCAATCCAATTTTTTTTTCATTTCTTTATTCATCACCAAAGTCCTAACTCCTACGTACTCATCATTGATTAGGCTGAGCAGGTATTCGTTAACGTCAATTCTTGCACGGAAAGTCAACATTTCTTTTCTTTCTAGCTTGCTTCTTCCAATTATATACTTTCTTCGTTCGTTGATACTCGCTCCATCGATCTACCGCTCTCAATTTAAAACGGGGGTAATGATGTTTACAACTCGCTCATATAAATTTATTGAAACTCGGAACTCAAAATGCGTTCTGATCACCTGATTTTTACTTATTTAAATTTATCGTATCTTATCTTAACTTCTTTTAATTTACCTGAAATTATTTTATTATAAATTAAAGTTGGGTAGTTTTGATTAACCCTTATCAAAACTTATCTGAACTTATTTTTCTTAAACTTATCTTATCTGAACTTATTAACCTTTATTTGAACTAATTAACCCTATAAAAAGTGAAAATACGATGAACAGAACCGGGTCTCAAATATCTGAGGTAAACAAGCTTACCAAGTGAGATAACATTGTAATTTTAATTTATGGATAGCAGTTCATAATTTATCTAAAAAGAAATACTATGTATAGAAAGTGTATAATTATGCTATGCACTCACTAATCCTAACATAAACTAATTTGGCAAGATAATATACATAAACGACTATTTTTGTGGAAAATTCAAAAATAATTTTGGCCACTTTTAATTTTTTTGAACCAAGAGAGTGTTATACTCAATCTAATACGAAACAACTCTTGCAATTATTGAATACATATGGTTAAAAATAAAATTATATTATAAACAATTTTATAATTAAGAGTCCATGACTTGCTACGAAACCTCCTCCTATCTACCTTACGTGTCAAACGACCATTAGCCGGTATTGTTGACCTTGAAATTCAAGAATATACCTTAGACTTGGCCTTTTCTTATTTAAACTTTTTTCTTCTTTAAAACGTCTACTATCTTTCTTCGTCGGTCTTCGATATTGTTTGGGACCACACATATATTATATACCATATTAAAATATTGTAATATGACTCAAAAGAAATCAAGAGATCAACATTGAATTCTGCCTCGTCTTATATCTTAATTATTTTTTAATTAATCTTCACTAGCTAATTAATTTATTTGATTAAACAAAATAATATCTTATGTATAGTAAGAACGTGAAAGGTTCAGATTTTCATACCACACGTACGTATGTAATGTTGCATCTCTCTAGTTTTAAGTTGACACTTCAACAAGTTAATTCTTACTTTATTAATGTCTCTCATTCAAATAACTTTCATGACAAAAATTATACTCCCATTCAGTGGCGGATCCAGGATTTGAGTAATAGGTTGTCCCATCATCGTCTATTGACCGTATATAATATTAAAAAATAGTCAAAGCTTGTATGATTAACAAAAAAAATACATAAAAAAAGCAGGTTACTTGACACGTGTCTGCATGTGAATGGTCTATTTTTTTCTAAAAAAAATTAATTCCCCACCCAGCCCAACAACCACTTCCCAGCCCAGCCCCAACAACCACCCCCTCCTCCTACACCACCACCAAAACCACCCTCCTGCATGTGAATGGTCAGCAAGAAACCCTTGAAGAGGACTAGCCCTTGAGTATATCGAACTAGGATCTCATTTCCAGATAATTTTAACCATAGCTAACTATGTCAAGTGCCGCACCGGCCTCCGCCCACCCAAAACCAGCAGCGAAAACAATGCATCTTCACATTTTCTTTGCCATAACATAAATACATAATAGGTTCCTAATTCAATCCATATCAAGCCCATTCATAGTTTAAGCAAGAATTCCCAATCAAAACTTAATAATTCTCTAAAACAATCCAAATGCCAGTATAATTTGCAACTAGAATCCTCAAAATTCAACTTAAACAACCTAAAAATAATTAAATTGATTGCAATACAAACTTAAACATGCTGAAATTCCATGATTTTGAACAATTAGCAGCAACATAGATCTAATCAAGTAGAAAAAAGATAAAAAGGAGAAAAAAAAATTAAGAAATGGAACCTTAAGTTCGTCATTAATGGCGGAAATGAGATCGGAGAGAAGATCAAAACAGAGAAGAAGATCGGGAAATTTGTGAGCAGAAGAAGCGACAATGGATTGTAATTGAGCAACATACATCAAAGTATTGATTTTCCACAAAGTATGAGCCACAGATTGACATTGACGGACGAACCATATATTGGCGACGGTGAGAAAATGGAGTGACGGAGTACGGAGCTTAAACTGGCCGGTGAACGGTGGCGGGGCTACGGGCCTGCGGGTGGGGTCTGGGGATTTTGATTTAGGGGAGTTAGAGACTTAGGGTTTTACAATTTGGGGGAAATGTTCTGAATCCCAAGTTTTAATTTCTAAATGTTGAAAATTGGGTGTGAGGTTATAAAGCAAAAAAAAGAAAAAAAAATGTCAGTAATGGGGTTTGAACCCACATCTCGCGTGTGATGGGTGGTAAAAAAACCATTAGGCTGCAAGCTGAACTTCTTGACATTTAGTGTTTAATTTTTTTTATAAAATAATAGGTTGTCCTGTGACACACTATGACTACACGTGGGTCCGCCCCTGCTCCCATTACGTATCTGTATAAAATAAAATAAAAAATTTATGGCAAAACATTTTTTTTTAAATAGTGTCTTAAATTTGTGAAGTTGTTGTAGAAATCGTATATGGTTATAGGCCGACTGTTGTTATAGGTATCATTTGGTATACCGTACACTCATCATATATATCATATTAGATCCTATATCAAATTAGATCCTATATATATATAAAGCTAATTAGAAGTGGAAAGTGTATAATGCGTGAGGAGTAACAATAAATAAAACACTTAAATGAAATGACGATAAACTTAAATTTGTATCTCGCCCATATATATCTATCCGAAAATGGATAAATTATTCAAAAAAAAAAATAATGATGTGATTAAAGAATGAACTTGTCTTCTGTAAGTCTTCTCAAAGACCTACTAGAGAAGAGAAAAAAAAAAAAAAGGAAAAATGAAAAAAAAAAGTATATGAACATTTTTTTTTACCTCATTCTTATCCTTTTCCTAAGAGCTACTATGATAAGTAATATACTAAACCAAAAGATATAGGCCCAAAAAAAAAAAAAAAAAAAAGTTTTAGCTAAAAACAAAGCAACATATTATGAAGGAAATAATATTTGTCTATTTGCATAACTGCCTCCTTTTGTTGCCTTTCTATTGTTGTTGCATGCTACTACTTGTAGTGACGTTATTTGCATTGTTTCCATTAGTAGTGGCATCACTAGGCCCATTATTGTTATCTGCCGGGCCACGTGCCCCACCGATGATCGACGAGATGGCAGCCGCCAGTGCGGCTGTGAAGTTCGGGTCGTTGGCGATGGCAGCCGTGGCTGCGCTTAGAGTGTCGGCGAAAGCCGGGTTTTGGTTAGGGTGTTGCAAGTGTGAAGCGTCCAACCCTTGGGGAGTCGTAGTTTGTAGACCAGAAAATTTTGATTGGTTATTATTATTATTAGTAGTAGAATTTAGCAAAGCTTGACCAAATATTTGAGGAATTGAGCCCAAAAAATTGGGCCCCACTTGGGAAGTTTGAGGTTGAAAGGGTACTTGAAAAGGTCCATTTGTTTGAGGAACTGATTGCCTCATTTGAAGAGGATTTGGTGAATGGGTTAAGTCCAACGTAACAGTTGGAAAAGGTGCTGATGCTGAGATTGTAGCCATACTTGATGAGCATGGAAGTATGGTCCTAGCTAGGAAATTCGGGTTCATTAACCCGTCCCCACTCGGCATTGAACCCGAGAGGAGCATGCTCGCCGCTGCTGAGGTTGTCGAGGCCATCGCCATCGCGGCTGGTGGTAGTGGGTGGTTGTGGTTACCTTCATATGTTGTGATCAGAATTGACCTGTCCTCCGCACACCTTTGAACCTATACAAAAAAAATTGTTGACAATGCTCATTATTAGTCTTCAATTTCTATGTAAATATCTATGAACGTACATGTTGTTAGTCATTATGGATTTGATAACTTAGATATGCCCATATTGACCAACATTTAAGAAGAAAAAAAATAGTAACAAATAAAAGTAACTACTACCACAGTTTCATATTTTTTTGTAATTGAGATATTATTTGTGAGATAAAAAATATTTTAAAGCTGTAAAAAATGTGAAAGAGGTAGTATTAACTCTTGCAATTTGGAAAGATGATGATGATTACATACTTGTTTTCGAACAGGACAACCAACAGCCATTGTGCAACGATAATAAGCTCTAGGGCAAGGGTTACCCTTTGCCATCTTTTGTCCATACTTTCGCCATTGACATCCATCGCTTATCTACATAAATTTCCATACATATATTAGACTTCGTAACACTTTCAATCCGTACGTACATGAACACTAATTAAGTAATTAATAACTAACCATGGGTGCTTCAGATCGTGCTCGAACTGATACACGAGCTTTCCTCATTGTAGCCTCGGCGGCTGCTTGATCAACAGGAGGACTAGTAGGCTTGACTACATTGTTCATCAACTTAGGCACCTTATTATGCCCCCACCCTTGCGCGTCCGAACCTTCCGGACTTTCTTCCCTTATTCTCTTCCCATTGTCATAGTTAGCAAGGTTCAACTCCTTATTATTGTTGGCCCTTGACGCTACTTCCATTGAGTTTAACGGTGAGCCAGAGCGGTCCACCGTCCTCTCGTCATCCGACAAGGTTTGAGACGTTCGCTCATCGGTCTCCGTATTTGCACCCGAAACCAAGTCTAAGAATTGACGTGGTACCATTGGCTTCTCCTCGGCCTTTCCTTGCATAATTGCCTATACATATGGAATAAAATCATATCCTAAGTAAACTTGCAAAATGATAATTAATAAAGGCGAGTAAATTGGTAATAATGATATACTACCTCCGTTCAATGTTATGTGCAACTTCAGAATATTTTATATCTCACAAATAATACCTCAAAGTTACACATAACATTTAACGGAGGTAGTAACTGATTTAGTCTTATGACTTTTAACTACAACAATTTTTTTTTAAATGAACGGCATAACATATAACGAAAAACAAAATCAAATGTACGATTGAAGGTTGTTGTACGTACCTCATGTTGCGAATTTTCGCCCTTTCGAAGGTTTTGTTGTTGTTGGTGCTGCATTACATTTACGAGGTGCAATTGAAGAGAATTGTAACTGTTGCTCATTTGATTTAACATGGATTTCAACTTTTGATTTTCAGTATTCATACGTTGTAGCTCAGCTTGAAGTAAAACTAGCTGATAATTAAAATCATACACAAATATATGATGTTAATGAATTAAGATGAAAAGGTATTAATGGTTGTTAAATTTTATACATAATTATATTATTAATGATAGTACAGTATTAATTACCTCATTTTTGTTTCTCTTGTCTTCTGCATCCGAAGATGCACCATCATCTACCGTAGATTGATCGCTTCCCGTATTAGTGGTGAGAAGATGTAAACCAGTCTATACATTGAAATAAAAATTACTTTAATAAATATATATGAATGAACTAAAATTATTAGTTAATAAATTATAAATTAAACCAATACATGTAATTTCTTAAAATAAAATTTTACTAGACTATATGGATATATTTACGACTCCGTATTATTATGAAGATGATTAACATATTAATTATATAATATTAAAAAAAATTAAGCATATACGGAGTAATTTTAATTTTATTAACTAAGACAAAATATCTATAATTCTTAATTTATTATAAAATTTGGGAAAAAAAAATAAATTATATACAATGGGTGTATGATATATGATAGACTATTTTCTTCAAAAAAATATATACTTGTATGTATGATAGATTAAATTTTTAACACGTATATAATATATCGCAATTCACCTAATTTTACTCAAAAAAAAAAGTCTCCCCCTTTATTGCAAATTTCGACTTTGTAATACTCGTAATAAAATGAAAATAAATAATACTCCATAATAATAAATACACTGTCATAACAAATAAATAGGATCTTAAGTAGTAGCTCCCTCCGCCCCTAAATTACAATTCTTCTTCTCTCTATTATGTGAGGAATAAATGATAGAAGTAAAAATGTAATTTAGGGATGGAGGGAGTACTCCGTACGTCTAAAGTTTATTACTCCTTTAGTGAAATTACGACCTTCGTTAAAGTAGGAAAACATAAATTTAATTTTGAGAGAAAGTAGAACAACAATTAGTTAGACAACAAGGGAGTAGATTTAACTCCGTAAAACATTTTATCATCAAGAATAAAAGATTAGGTAGGATCTGAAAATAGCAATAAATGAAGAAATTAAAATAAAATAAAATAAAAAAAAGAGAGAGAGAAAGTTACATTAACATTATTATTATCGAGAAGAGGTGCGGAATCAGGAAGAGCAGTAATAGCAGATTGATGATGATCACGAGAAGAAGCTTCCTCTTTCACACGATTTAGAGGTGCCCCAGAACACGATGTACTCCTATGTACTGTATTATTATTATTATTATTATTATTATTATTATTATTATTATTATTATTATTATTATTATCAGAGAAGAAATCTACTTCACCAACAACTTTCTTCTTATCCTGATTTTGATCATCATCATCATGTCTTTGATCACGATCATGTTCGGCTGATTGACGGTGGATATTCATTGGAAAATCTAGGCTTTGGAACACCGGATTATTATCATTATTATTAATATTATTCTTATGTTTTTTGTGATGAAGAAGGTGGTGGTGGTGGAGAAGATCGGACGGTGACGATGATGATTCAAGAGCAAGACCCCATCCTCTGCCGTCCATTTACGAGATGATTTTAATTTGATTGGTTGGATCAGTGGATTTTTATTTTTATTTTTATTTGGAAATGGGAATGAAAATGAAAGAAATGGATTTGGGTTTATAAGAGAGACAAGAGAAAGAGAGGAGAAGAAGAAATGTTTGGAAGTCTCAAGTCTTTTAACTGATGAGCCTATAAAAAGGGTTTGGAATGAAGACCAATGACTTTTTTATTATTATTATTATTATTATTATTTTCATTTTCTTTGTTTTGAAAAGAAAAATACTTGTATTGGTAAGTGTAATAAAAGTGTAATACACTAATACTATGATATATAAATAAATATATATGCTGTAATAAATAAGTACATACGTTGGATTTTTCTAATGATTATTTATCTTACCTTGTATTAATATATACCAGTATATATAAATATAAAAATGTATATATATCTAGTAGGTTTTGTTATCGTCTGAATTTTTATGGTCTTGACTGCTTTTTATTTATGTTTTGATTCGTTATATTTATATGATACGGAGTGTTGTGAAATTATATGCCCTAGTCTAATCTCATCTTAACAAGATTTAGAAATTAATGATCTGATGAGAATAAGTTAAAGTCAATTGAACAAAGTTTAAAGATGAAAGTTGGGTTATTAGATCATCTAAAAGTAAGGTAATTTATACTTTGTAGGTGATGAATTAATTACGTTGTTCTAAGGGTAATGACGATCGATTAATTATTTGATTTGGTTTAGTTTGTTTGGATCTAATTAAGTCATATGTAGGTTTATTTTGTGTCAATTTAGCTTATTAAATTATGATGCATGATGCGTTATATTAAACATTGTATGCTCATATCAAGTTGAGTTAGTTCATCTATTTAAAATGTGATTTTAGGTTGATTAGGGCTCATATAATTTTTTTCTACGTTTGATATTTTTATGTTAAGACATTAGTAAGAATAAGGACACGTGATTGGGATAAATTCAATTCGTAGATGCATAGTCATTAATCAAATCGGATGATAATTTGGTTTATTTCATAACACAATCAAAATAGAAATATGATACAGTGTAGAAAAAGTCTATAAAAGTAAAAATACACGACGTATTTATCAAAAATGAAAATGAAAGATATACGACGTATAAAATATTATTATTAATAGTTTTCCTTTAGTATTATCCTTTACTATTTAATAAGTTTATGTCCACACACTACATACATTGAAAGATTTTTAATTTAGAGAAGAAATACAAAAGAAAAAAAAGTCATTATTTAACCAATAAAAACGTCAGCCTATGCGTAAGAGTGAGAAATAAAATAAAATAATTAGTCATAAATAGAAGAAGAAAAAAACAAAATAAAAATAGGAGTGGTTTCGTCTACATTTCGTCAAAAAGGAAGTTGACTCATTCTTTCTTCAAAGAAATACCACCGCCCCGTGGGATGCGGCGCCTTCCACGTGACGGTATTCAACTCTCTTCTTCAATCTTCACTACTCCAAAACACGACCTTCTTTCTCACCTTAGCTTCTTACTACGTCGTATTATTATACCTTCTAGTATTTTTGTACTTGATTCTATAAGTATAAAAGTATAGTACACTTTTATCAAGAAAGATATCGGATAGTACACATTTATTATTGTTGAAACCCATTGTATATACATACCCACTTGTGACTTTATGAGTGTCCTACGTTAAAAAAAAATATGGTTGGATTCATCTATTTATAAAGGTAGAGGAGTTATTTTTATTATCAATAATTAATTTCAGTAAAAAGCTTCTCGTGTCTTGTTTATGGACTGAACTTTTCTTCTTTTATCGAGTAAATTGAATGGTTTCAATGTTTGGGGTGATGGGAAGATCTTATACTCCCTATATTTAATCAAAAAAAAAAAAATCATTATACTCCGTATTTAATTTCGTAGTTACAAAGATGCAAAATTTTATATTTGAAATTAAAGTGCAAAGATTAAAAAAAATAATCATAGATAAATCTTAGCTTATAATTTGTATTTAATTTCGTAGTTACAAAAATGCAAAATTTTTATATTTGAAATTAAAGTGCATAAATTACAAATTTAATAAATTTTTATTTGATAGTTTTATTTTCATTTTATACTTTTTTTTTTATGCAAAAAGTGGGCAAAACCTTATAGAAAACGAAATTAAGCAATAAAACGAATTACTCTAACAGACAATTTATTTCGATTGGAGGCACATCGAAATAAACTATACCCTCGCTAAAACTAATCCCTTTATTAGCAAGCCGATGTGCTACCACAAAAATAAAAACCAAAAGGGTTAATAAGACTACGACAACTACTGAGGATGTTAACGCATTTCTGGATTTTGGATAGATTCAATACATGCCTTATTGTCCATTTGCATCTCAAGCTTGTTGATACCATAAGCTATAGCCATCTTGAGCCCACGTTCTGCTGCTAGTAGCTCTGCTTTATATGTCATACATACTCCAAAGTTAGCAACAAAAGTTCTAATATGTCTGCCATGAACATCTCTAATAACTCCTCCTCCTCCTGCTAGACCAGGACTTCCTTTTGCAGCCCCATCAGTATTTAGTGCAAACCAGTGTGATTAGTTGATTAGATTGGTGTACAAATAGAATCAAATTAGTTTAGTCAAATGAAAATCGAATTAGTTGATTAGGTTAAATTAAATATAGTGTAAATATAATTGGAAGAGCTGATTATATTGGTTAATTGAGGTTCGCAATGGAACCTCAAGGATTTAAGTATCTAAATTCTTATACTATTATTAGATAAAAAAAATGGTGAAGGTTGATATCTAAATTAAAATATTTTTCAATTAATAAGTCAATTAATATTATCTTTGATACGAATAATTACTAAATATTTATCACAACGCTATATGGATCAATTTTCATTAAATTAGGTTGTAACTAATAATATCTTAGAAATAATACTCCGTATTTAAAAAAAAATTATCGTCACACTTCTATGCATAACTTATTTCCTTTTCTGGAGTTTTGACAAGTTATTTTAGAGTTCAATCTAAAACATTATACGCAACTAGGTAGTATTATTTTCATACAAATGGGTTAAAGTACGCTCTCAATCCAATTTTATTGTTTTGAAAAAAATTTACATATTCTCATTCGATATATACTTTGAAAAATATGAATTCAAGCAACCATTCAAGATTCTTATGAAAAATGATGCCTATTCAATTTGAATATCACCTCTATAACCCATGATATCACCAACTTTTTTTTTGCACAATTCAAACTTCTCTATATATATTCAATTAACAATTATGTTACAGTTATTGTTTGACTTTTACCCAATTCACATTTTAACTTTAATTTGAACAATTGATTTTGCAATATTATTATTATTATTTGTTAAGTATTACTTATATTTCAATAGGTTCAATTGTAATAATTTTTACAAATAAAAATTAAGATAATAATGGTCAAAGTTGTACATTTCAATTTCAATATTAGACTTTGAGGTTTGTTGACTTGGTACCAAGAGAGCGATAAACTAAAGGTCTAATACAAAAATGGTAAGAGTTGTATATATGATAATCAAATTGTTAAACTAGTAATTTTAGGAAGGATCTTGCTAACGAACGCCCCCAAAGCGTTAAATACCCTTTTAAAATAGTTCATAAATTGGTTTTAATTTAAAAATGCACGCCCAAAATTACACGTTAATTAATATAAGTAATTTTAATTTCAAGTTAATATTTCTACTTTTAGTAATCTCATTCAAAACCCCCGAATGTATTGTAGCTTTTGTCAAATAAAATGGGGAAAGTATACCAAGAAAATAAAAAATAAAAATTCATGCAATAAGTGGTAGTGTACTAGATACATGTAGAAATGTGGGGAAAAATAAAGGAGGAAGAGTTGACTGGGCCCACAAAGAAGAAGAGGTGCAATGCAAATGCAAGTATGGAGAGTTTAAACAGCACGTTTTCAGATCTGGCGTGACAGGAAACAATAAGACGAGGATTAGCTGATTACGTTGACTGTTTTTACGGTTTATGCTGTGATATTTTTTTTTGTTTTTTTTTTTTAAAAATGTGGGACCCGCTCATTCAAAAAAAAAATTAAAATACTGTATATTTTATTTTTTGAGGAAGAGAGGTGGGCCCATCTAGACAAGCTATTGACTAGGGTATCATACACATTGATGCCGGTATTAATTTTTGTTTGATTTTTCTTGTATAATAAAAATTTAGTAGTAGAATATTGTGGAAAAGCATAAAATTCAAGGGAAGTTGGTTATAACTTACAGCTATATACACGAAATAGAAAGAATAACACTATTCCCTAGTCATGTTTATGACTATATTCTTCTTGAAATTTTGTAACAAATTGAACTAATTTGACATGTGTTTTGGCTATTAAGACGGTGTATTTGTGTTTTGGCATTTTATTAGCGTTTGGCCAATTAAAACTTTACATATTTCGGAGTCATATAATTTGACCAATCTAGATATATATATAAAAAAAAAAAAAAAACTTGTACAAAAAAATTACTCTCATTTTTCTAGGTCTTGTTATTCAATTCGTTACAAGAAAATTAAAGAATTAAGTTATATTTTTCAATCTGTTGAGATATGCTTGATATCATACGAAATATTCGCAACGATTATACCCAATTTTTGGGATCCATTGATGAACTCTAAACTTTAGTTAATTAGTGAATTCAATTTCTAAGAGGCACATATAAATAATCTAACTATTTTTAGCATTACGTTATCTTTTCAAGCACAGTTGCACATAAGTATATCACTTGTCACTTGATGAAAGGATGTTGAATATTTGATCATACTTTATATGAAATGTCATTATAAAATCAATAATTTTCTATAAGATATTATAGTTAGGCATATAGAGTCGAACTAATTTCAACTCTTCATTAAAGTCCACTAATCTTAACCATTAGGAGAAAGCAACAGTTTTCCCTATGTGTACGCAATTTATTCCATATGTAATGACTTCCATGTTTGGCTGTTTAGGGATGAGATTTTTAATTTTCTACAAATTGAATTATTTTTAGTCCAGATCTTTTTTTTCTAAATCAGTCTATTTCATCTTTCATCATAGATATTTACTAATTTTTATTTTCTTGCCTAGTCACTTAATTTTCGTTGAAATTTTTGTAAATAATACGAGATTATCAGATTAATTATCATGTGGTCATTTTAGTCCCTAATTCTATTAATAAGACGAAAATGTCATTTTAGAAAGTCTTATAATAAAATAA